GGGGGAGCCCCAGTCGCCTCTCGGGACCCGTGGCTTGTCGGAGCAGCCGGTCCCGGGGCGTCCTCCGGTTACCCAGCGCGCCGACAAGGAAGAACTTCAGTGGCCCGGCGCCCGTCGGTGGGTGGAGCTCAGCGCGGCGGCTCCAGCCTCCAAAACAAACCCTGCGACGGTGACAGGCAGCACAAAGGCCGGCCGGGCGGCCCGGGGCGCCCAGCCCAACGACCGGCAGCGGGGCGTCGGCTCACCGGCCCCGCACCGGGCCGGCGGGCGGGAGGCGCTCACCTGGCGGTGCCGCCCCCGGAAGACCACGGCGAAGGCCCCGTGTCCCACGAGGTCCCGCTTGCTGTACTCGAAGTCGCCCACCACCTCCATGGCCGCGCCCCCGGGACATAGAGCGCTCGGGGTGGGGGGCGGCGTGGCGGAGAGCCGGGATCAGCACCGCGGGCCCGAGGGCGCCAAGCGCGCCCGCGGGCGGCGGGACGGGGGCAGCCGCGGCCCCGGGCCCGGACGGACACTCATGCCGAGAGGCCGGAGCGGAAACGGGACAGGCCGCCGCGCGGAGCCGGGGTCAGCGAGGCCCGGGCCCGGGCGCTCCTCATGGCCCGGGGCCGCCTTCGGCCGCGGGGCTCTGGCCGAGCGGCCTGGGCGCTGCCCGACCGGAGGGCACCGCCACCGTCACTGGGCGTAGCCGGAGCTGCCCGCGCGCCCGGCGGCGGTGCCAGGCCGGGGCCGCGCCATGGCCGCAGGTGCGGCTGCCTCGGCTCGGTGCGCCCCGCGGCGCGGCTGGGTGACGGCCGCCGCCCTGGAACCCGCCGCACGGCCGCGGTGGCGGCTCCTGCCCGCTTCTCGGGAGCGCCCAACGCACGCGCGCGCGCCGGCCGCTCCACGCCGACTACCGGCCCCGCGCGACGTCAGCGCGTCTGGTGGGACGGCGCGCCCCGCTCCCGCTCCCTCCGCCGAGAAAAGGAGTGCGCGCTGCGGGGCGCGGCGCCAGGCACCGGAGGCCGGTCCGCAGTCGCCGAGGCCGGTGGGCGAGAGGGTGAGGCCGCCGCTGCTCGGCTACCGGCTGCGGGCTCCGCGCCGGGCGCCGGGGACGGGCTGGAGCCTGCCACGCCCTGACCTGAAGCCGGCCCCTAAGGGGCGGGTCTTGAACTCCCGGCCCGGGGAATCGCTGAGGCCGTGCAGAATCCGTGGGTCCAAAGAAGGCAAAACCTCTTAGGGCTTTCGAATCCCGACGGCCAGCTGCCCCACTGCGCACTGAAGGGATAGCGTCTGGCGGGGACCTTTTGGAGGTCCCTAGACCTGTGAGAGGCTCAGAACCTCCTTTCAGAGAAACTGCACTCTACAATGTGCCTTTCTAAGGAGAACCGCGGTCACCAGTTGTTCTCAGGCTTTTCTTTTTCTCTCTCCTCTTGTTCAGGTGGCAAATGTTTGTCAGCTTTGGCTCAAGGAAGCATTACCGAACCATGGTAAACAGCCTGTATGAGTGACCCCATACCTAAGTGTATTTTAAGGTTTGGGGATGCTGCTGTCCAGTTTTGTTTTGTTTTTGAAGGTTTTACTTTTCTGAGTATGGGTGTGTTGCCTGCATGTGTATTATGTACACCATAGGTGTACTAGGTGCCTGCGGAGGCCAGACGAGGGTGTAGATCTCCTAGGACTGGAATTGGATGGCTGTGAGCCACAATGTAGGTGTCTAGGGGTCCTCTGGAAGAACAGCCATCTCTCTCCAGCCCTGAGCAACTCATCTTGACAACCAGGTAGAGACCCTAAAAACCCCTAGCTTTGAGAGGAGTCAGGAATCTGAAAGCAGCAGCTGTATCTCTTTAGTCCATTTTCTGTTCCTAAGAGCACAATACCGCAGACTCAGTAAGTCCATTTTCCATTGCTAGAACAAAATGCCCCAGGGTTAGCACTTTATGAAGAAATGAGATCCATGCAGCTCACAGTTTTGGAGGCTGACACCCCAAATAGCAAAGCACCAGCTCTGACACGTGGCTTCACAAGTGTACTGTGGGACAGAGAGCGATCACAAGGCAAAGAACCAGAGTGTGAGAAGGGACCAGTGTTACTCTTTCATAACCACTCACTCTAGAAAGAGCTGGTGTCCAGGAGACCTCCATTAATCCCTTTCGTGAGCATTGCCTGTGGTGGCCTTTCAGTTCAGCTCACCTCTTACCACCCTGAGGACCCAGCGTCCAGCACGAGAAACTTTAAGGAACACATTCAGATTGTCCCAACATAGTGGTAAGTTAGAAAGTTTGTTTTGAAAAAGAAAGAAAGAAAGTTTGTTTTGGCTTGTAGGTCTTATCCACGGTGGAGGGGCTGTATCTGGTGACAGCTTTCTGGATGGCAGGATGAAGTGGTACCAGGCATCCCAAGGTGAGATTCAGGGCATATTGAGGGGGGCCTGAGCAAGCTGGAACTTTTTTTTCTCTCGGTGTTGAGGGTCAAACCCAGGACCTCACACATGCTAAGCAACTGCTCTGCCCGTGAGTTGTAACTCCAACACCTAACTGCTTTTTAAAAAAAAAAAAAAAAAAATTGTATTTATTGTGTGTGCGCGTTTGCAGAGGTCAGAGAATAGCTCGCAGGGGTCAGTTTTCTCCCTCCACCATGTGGGACCTGGAAATGGAACTTGGCGACATGGCAAGCACCCTTACCCCATCCGGTGAGCCATTTCACTGCCCCACCTTCTTGGATAGCACAGCTACTCTGAAGGCAACATATTAACCTAGTAATCTCATGGATGGATCCGTCTGTTCTTGAGAGCAGACCCAGAATTACCTCTTCAATACCTGGCCACCCCTCTTCTCAGGGCAATCACATATGCTGCTGTGAGTTCCGGGAGGGGCTAACTATATCCAGCCTGTAGCGCCTTCCCTCCTCAGATTCTCAAAATGTGGGGCTTTGGATATCTGCTCCCACGACTGATCCACTTCTATCCTTACTGCCAAAACTGGCCAAAACTGGTTGTGATAAACATGAAGTTTAGGAGCCTTAAAAAGCAGAGGTCAAATTAAACAACTCTATACTTGAATTTTTAAAAATTGTGCAGGTTCCTTATGTCACTAAAAGACTGCAGTTTATCTCTAAATGTGAGCACATCATAGGATATAGAGCTAATATAAAGACACTCACTGAATGGCAGGTCTTTGGGAATATGGAAGCTCTGGATTTACACAAGTCCCTGAACTTTCTAATCTACAGTCTCCTCATGTATAATTTGGGGATAAGGACAGCCGCTACTTCACTGGACTGTTTAGAAGATTAAATAGCGGGAGCTGGAGAGACCACTCAGTGGTTAAGAATATGTAAGACTCTTGCAAGAAGACCCCAGTTCAGTTCCCAGCACCCACACACCATGTGACTCAACAGCTGCCTGTCTTCAGTTCCAGGTGGATCAATCATATGCCCTCTTTTGGCCTCTGCAGACACCTGTACACACATGGAACACACACACACACAGACAAATAAATATAAGGAAATAAACCCAAAGTATAAACTGCTTGGGATATTATCTAGCACCTACAAAGTACTAAAGATTGTTTAAAAGTATCAAAACCAACTTAATGCGGCACTTCCCCAACACAGACCAGTGCCCTCAGGATTTTCCCTCTCTTTCCCAACCACCCCCTAGATGGTTTTCAAACGAACTGAGCTTGGGTGTTTTAGCCTCATGTAGCTGGAGCCACCCAGGGCAGTTAATAGATACACGGAGAGTTCATGCCTATAAATGCTGCAGAAGCCATCAGCATGAGGCATCTGCACAACCGGAAAGCAGTGGGGAGTGTAATAGAATTGCTTGTCAACCTGACAGGCTGTGGAATCACTTAAGAGACAAGCCTTTAGGCAGCAGCAAGGGAGGTTCTTCAGGTTAGATTAACCTCCCTCTGGGCAAGCCAGTGAGGAAGTGTTCTGATGAGGTTCACTGATGCCAGGAGACTTGCCCCAAAAAAGAGCATCACTGTTTCCTGGACTTCTTGAAAAGAAGGAAGGCAGCTGAGCAGAAACAGCCATCGTTCTCTGCTTCTTGACTGAGGATGCAAACGCAAGAAAGCGTTTCCATCGCTCCCAGGTCAAGGCTACGGTAGTTCATCATGGTGGGGAGGTCATGGCCGAAGGAGCCCCAGGTAGCTGCTCAGCCACACATAACATCCACACTGCAAGGCAGAAAGCTTGAACACATATGCTCAGCTTGCTTTCTCATTTTAGTCAGTGCAGGACCCCAAGCCCAGGGGATGAGTCTGACTGTTTCCAGTCCTCCCACATCAATACCTCAAAGGCAAGCTCAGCAGCCCATCACACAGGTGTTTCTAGAATCTGCCAAGTTGACAGCACCATCCATCTCACATTGCGTTCATCAGGGGATTTTTACCACAGCAACAGGAAAAGCAACTAATAGAGGGCTGAGGCAGCAGCATGGCTGGAGTGGGGCTGCTCCCACGGTGTGTGATGGCACCAGGACCACAGGTCACAGAGAAGCTGCCGTGCACCCACAAGTGGTCAGCTTCACTGCTGTGTGCTGAGGTGTTTCCTCTGGTCTCAATACTCGGCAGGAGCAGCACATGGCCTTCCTGCTGGCCACCTAATGCCTTTCGTATACAGGTCTTTGTCTGGTTTTGTCTCGGGCTACAGTTCACAACCCCATGAAAGTCCTATCAAAGATCCTCCAAACTCCCTGTGACAAAAACCCATCAAACAACTTCGAAGGACAGAGATTTACGTTTGGCTTCTGGTTCCTGAGGCTCCAGCCGGTGGTTGGGTGGCTCTGTTGTTTCCGGAGGAGGCAGAGCATTCTGGTGGAGGCATGTGTGTGAAGCAAAGCTTCCTACTCTGTGCATTGAGAAGTACACAGAGAGGAAGGGGCTAGGGACAATTCTCACATCTGTGCTGTGCCTCAAGGGACCTCCTTGCTCCAGCCATCGAGTTCCTATAACTTAATACCTTCAAGTTGTAAAGTCATTGACAGGCCAAGCAATTGATTAGGTCAGAGGTCTTACCATCCTTTCAATGAGTAGACCCAGCTGGGGACCAGTCCTTCAACATAGTTGTCTTTAAAGATGCTTGTATAGAATGTCACTAAAGTTACACTCCCACGTTAGGACATTTCAAAAGCGTTAACAAGCTGCCTCAGAGTTCCGAATGTGAAGCTACGTCACACCGTCACACCTCTATCCACAGCCACGAACGCAAAGCTGACACATAGGGTTTGACTTTGAGGCTCATGATGAAAGGGGGAAGGGTGGTAAAAGCAGGAGGAACTTTACCAAGGGACTGTTTGATTAGGACTACGGAGGCAGCACCTGACAAAGGCTGATTGTGATGAAGATAAAAGAAGGCAGCCCAGGCCGAGAGGCAGCTCAGAAGGTGCGGGTGCTCCAGGCCAAGCCTGCTGGCCCCAATTCAATGTCCTTGAAACTGCAAGGAGGAAGGAAAGGACTGAACTGACTTCTTTGAGTTGCTCTTTGACCCCCACATGCATATGGAGGTCACATGCCCACACACATACATATACTCACACACACAAAATGTGTAAAATGAAAGGAAAAAAAAAAAAAAAGA